GGCAGAATGTGTTTTGGCTTGTGTCAACGTGTAGGACACAGTAAAAGTTTCTTCTAAAGTAACTTTACCTCCCACAACCATACAGTAGAGTAGGAATTATTTGGTAGATAATGAAACTGAAGGACAGAGGATTAAATGACTGCTTGAGTTACACACATAGCAGATGGCCCAAGTAGAGATTTAAAACTAGCCATCAGGGTCCTCCCTGATGGTGCAACAGGCTAAAGCACAGCACTACGAAGCTAGACAGTCACTTCAGCTGAGTTCTATCCACTGCCAAGGTGACCCACATGGCATGACAGACCTCTCCTGACCTGCCTGCTGCTCTCCTTAGCATTATACTTCGTCAGTCAGCCTGTTCTGCTGCTTGCTCTATCTCTGGTGAATCTTCTCTCCACCCCAGCACCTCTGGCCTACACCCTAGTTCTGTATGCTTAAATAAATAAATCTTTTAAAAAAATAATAAAATAAAACTAGCCATCAAATTCTACATTATTTCCATTAAAATAGACACTGTTGATCATTTTCAACAACCATTCACTACCTCTCCCTTCTTACAGAACCCCAGTTTTGTCATGTCATACCCCTTCCTCTATATATCACCCTATACACGGCAAAGTAATGGATGGATGGATGGATGGATAATGGAGCAGTGGACAGATAAGTGAATAAATGAATGAATGATCAAGACTGGGCTCCTGCCAACTTCTAGAATCTCAGTGGACACTTTTTCTTCTACTTGTTTTGTTTTTTCCTTTATTTTAGCTTAGAAAACAACTCTTAGGGTAATGTGGTTCTAGAACACTGGAGTTCTTGAATCAAGAGGAAAATACAGTTAGAAGGCAAATTTTGAATTTCCTTCCAAGTGTATATTGCAGCTATTCCAAATGACAAAGTTTTCAGGATCTGTTTTAGACTGGTTTACACAGTCTGCAGGAAGCAGGAGGGTGCATGAGTACAAAAAAGCTGCACAGGTGGTGTGACAGATGCATTCCAGAAAGCTTAAGCATCCAAGAGAGCACTGTGCTCAGGCCCATGCTTCACCCTGCCCCCTACTCATTTGCCCAGTGAAGTTCATAGGTGTTGCCAGACAGAAGCCAGTTACCCCTCCCACTTCCCACAATTAGCACTTTCACCTGGTCTAAAGTGTCAATCTAGGGTCACCCCATAAGCTAAGAGGTCTCTGCCCCAAACTGTGTAGGAAGTCCTACTACTGTCAAGGAACTATCATGTTCTCACAGCTTGCTGCTGACATTGTTGTCACCTGCCTCCTATACCTTTAACACCCTACTTCTCCCCATTTGGCAATCTATCCTTCCAACCCTTCTAGACCCCTCCTGAAAGCAGACTAAGAAGGAGGGCCCTCCCTGGTGGTGCAGCAGGTTAAAGCACAGCACTAAGAAGCTAAAGCCACTTCTGCATGAGTTCCATTCCCCCCTGCCTCAGAGGTCACCCACATGGCGCGGCAGACCTCTCCTGGCCTGCCTGCTGCTCCCCTCAGCAGTGTACTTCGTCGATCTGCCTGTGCTGCTCCCCGCTCTGTCTCTGGTGAATCCTCTCGCCACCCCTGAGCCTCTGGCCTGTACCCCAGATTCTGTATGCATAAATTAATAAATCTTAATTTTTAAGATTTAAGGGTGAGAGGATTCACCACAGACAGAGCGGGGAGCAGCACAGGCAGATCGACGAAGTACACTGCTGAGGGGAACAGCGGGCGGGTGAGGAGAGGTCTGCCCCGCCATGTGGACCTCCTCCCAGGCAGGCGGGAATCGAACTCATGTGGAAGTGGCCCAAGCCTCTCCGTGCTGTGCTTTAACCCACTGCGCCACGAGGGAGGGCCCCATAAATAAATGAATCTTTAAAAAAAGAAGGAGGAGGAGGAGGAGGAGGAGGACATCTGCCCAGGCTGTAACTTCAGACGCCAAGCTTTCTCTTTTAGGATCCTGGGATTTGTTATTTCTACTCTTGTGTCTCCTTGAACTTGTTGATTCAAAGCTGTGCTCTGCCTCTGGCCATTGAGTGTAGCCTAATCCTGTCCTTTGAGTGTGGCCTGTGATTGGCATCCCTGCCATCAGCAAAGGCCTCAACACATTGAGTACTTCAGAGGGCAACTTGGATGAAACCCAGAGGCTTGGAGCTGGGGGGAAAGTGGGTTAGCCCAATTTTCATTAAGGACCTATTGGTCCCACTCTAGTTCCTATTCCAACGTGGGAATAAACTTGCTCTTTAAAACCCTTCAGATCAGATGGGTAGTGTTGACTAGTATTTGTGTCAAAGCCAAAGTCTTAGGCTGACTTGGGAACTGACAGGACTCTGCTAATTCCTTGTATAAATATGGGATCTGCTCCTTGGCTGTCTAAATCAGGGGCTTGGGTGGAACACCTGGAGCCTCCACTTGCCTCTGAAGTTTCTGGAATGGAATTGCTTCTCTTCCCTCCACTTCCTCTACCGCATCCCCAGTCCATAAGGGAAGAACCAATAGCAAACAATAGCAAAGGCTATGTCTGGAAGCAATTGGTGGGGGGCTTGCATCTTTTGGCATGCCAAGCTCTTTCTCTTTGTTCAGTGGAGGCAAAAGAGCCACTGCAGCCCATTTAGGGCTGTTTTGTATAATTTCTCCCAGAAATCCAACTTGTAGAAAAACAAATGGCTCACAAAGCATTCCAGATTCTAAACAGATACACTGTCAGAATCTGCAATGACTAATTTTTTTTTTAGGGAAAATTTCAAGAGGGCTGAATGTCTGCCTCTGAGCCCATGGTGAGGCATGAGAAGACATTCAGGCCACTAGGACTGTGGGTGACTGGAAGCCACATGAGGCACCACCATGATTGGCAACTGTCTCTGAGTTCTTCCCTCCCTGAAGTTCCTGCCTCTTTATTTCTCTGCTGGAATTGAGATTGGCTCTGGGTTTCTTGTCCAGCACAACCATCACCCACAAGGCAACCCGCTGTGAGTATCTTGAGCATCATGAGCCCCAGAGCAGCCTCAGTAAGGACCAGACAGGGTCAGACTTGCTATGATAGTCTGAATGTCAGTACCCCATTTGGGCTTTTACACAAGAAATAAAGATCCATTTTGTTTAAGTTGCTGTTGTTTTGCTTCTATGGCTAAATCAAAAATTCTAGTAAGATGTATTTGAAAGTGGCTGAGAGCTTAAATTTGCAAAGTTCTCAAGACAATAAAAAAAGTGTAACTATGTAAGGTGAGGGGTGTTAATTAAGTTTGTGGTAATCACTGTATACACATATCAAATCATTATATTGTACATCATAAACTTATACAATGTTACATGTCAACTATATCTCAATAAAACTAGGATGGAGGAGCAGCTTTAGCAAGCCTAGAAAGAGCAGAAGAATTAGGTGTTAACTTACTGATAGTTCAGCAACTCTCCTGGGATCTAGAAGGCCCTACATGGCTTTTTTCTCCACTTGCTCTCTAGGCCTGTCTACTCGATGGGCTTCCTATAAATCAGCTTCCTCTGCTGCCCCAAAACTTCACTTTGGAAATATATTTAACTGGCACATTCTGACCTTCATCCTATGAGCTAGCACAACCAAAACCAACTAGTTAGAAACTCTTGACTCTTAGTGTGAATTCTCAGTAAACAGAAGTGGTTCTTGGCGAGTTAGTAGATTTGCTGCTTTTGAGTTAGGTGCTGTTTCCATAACCTCTGGGGTGATAGGGAAATTTACTCACTGTGGTCCAGGAAAAGAGCATTTCTCTGGGAAATGACTGACTTATCTCCTTCAAGGGGAGAAGGGACAGCAACTCTGAAGCACCTTCATGGTTCCACAAAGATCTCAACAGCAACTTGTCTCTTTAACAGAAGAGCCCAGATCCCTTTCTGTACGAACATTCCTTTGAACAGAATGGTATGGTCAAGAATTTTGGGTGGGGTAAGCCAGGGGAGGATAGATGACCAGGATGGGGAAGTACTGGTGAGGTGTGACTGGAAGAAATGAAGCTGAATTAATGCCTAAGATCAAAGCTAGGGAAATAAGGTTTCCCTGCCAAATCCCAAAGGTCAGTGGCAGGGTGGAAAATCGAACACAGAGCCAAGGTCAGGAGCCAGTAGAACTGGAAAAATGGAAACAGTCCAAGGAACAAGATTAGTCTGGGCATGGTGGCAGCTAAGAGCTGGAAGCAAGTTTAGCTTCACTGGTCCACAGATAAAAGGGTTAGAATATGGAAGATAGGACCTGCCTAGATTTAAACCTTATTATCAGGGGGAGAATAGGAGAAACCAGAGTTTCTTAACCCATAATCTCCCTAAACTGTACAGACTGTTGATATTTGTGCAATTTTCTGCGCTTGTTAAAGGGTACAACGCCTCCAAAGGGGCTTTAGGTTTGAATCTCATCCCACTAGGACTACTGTTGCGGGCTTTCCTCAGTCACTGCCTAAATTCTATGCAGCTAAAGGTCTCTGCCACCCTCCAGAAGGGCTGAGCTCTGGCCCGCTTGCTTCAAAATCTCGCTGCAGCGCTACTGGCCTCTAAGCTGATTTCTCCGGGAAGCTCCGACCTCTGGGTCTCAAAAAAGATGAGTCTAATACACGACAGAGGCTGGACACGCTGGAGGAGGGTCAGATTAAAAGAAGGGGAGGGTGATTCGTGCCCCTCTGAGGACCTGCGAGCGAGCTCAGCTCACACAGGGACTGATTAAACAGCAACGTGAGGTTTGTCTGCCGTTTCACAAACCGTCCGTTGCGTCTTACTGAGCAAGCGAACGTCTCTTCGCCCGTCTATTTTCGGGTGCGGTTAGAGTTCCTGGATGGGGTACAGCCCGCAGATGGGAACCATGGCCTTTGTGCCACGTCCTTCAGGGCGGAGGAACCGCGCCCCCAAGTGCCAGGATTTAGATGCTAGCGGAGGACGCCGGCAGAGGGCGCCCCAGCCCCGCCTCCTCTGTCGCCCCGCCCCCTAGGGGAGGGTCCAGGGCGCGGCGGCGCGACACCTTCGCGTGAGTGGTGACGTCGACGCGCCGAGCCCGGAAGTGCGGTAGCCGGGAAAGCCGCTGAACGGTGCTGCTGCCGCGCCTCAGTCCCCATGGCGCTGTGGCGCGGCTCCGCGTACGCGGGCTTTCTGGCACTGGCTGTTGGCTGCGTCTTCTTGCTGGAGCCGCAGTTGCCGGGGTCGGCGCTTCGTTCTCTGTGGAGTTCGCTGCAGCTGGGGCCCGTGCCCCCGGGACCTGGCTCCCCCGAGAGCCGGTTGGCGGCCGCCTGGGATGCGCTTATCGTGCGGCCAGCCCGGCGCTGGCGCCGCGTGGCTGTGGGGTGAGTGTCTGTGGGGCCCGCGTCTCGGCCTTTTCGAGGCAGCTTTGGCGGAGGTCGAGAGGTTTGGAAGCGGCAAGGTAGATCCGCGCGGAAACCCGGGTTCCCAGAGGTCCTCGGAGGCCCCAGGTGTCCACGCTGTCTTTTGGCGAGACGCGTCAGATGTCCGGGATGAGTCCCGCGGGGCTCGGCTTTGGGACTCGCCTGAATGCTCTTTCCTCAAGGGTGGCCGCCCTGCGCTTCTCTCAGCTGGGCAGAAATCCCGCTCAACCCGACACCTTCGTTAGGAGCCTCCTTTCCAGTTTCAGCTCCTCCCACTCCTCTGGTAACTGCCCTTCTGCAAAGACCACTCTCCTGCCTCCTACGTCCGAACTTCTTGAAGGAATGTTCAGTTCATTAGCTACCGAATTTTATTTCTTCACACCTGGCTTCTGCGTCCGTAATGTCATAGTATAATGTCATTATGTCTCTTGACTGAAACTCCTCTCAAAATTCACCGCGGATTTGGGGGGGGGGGGAAGGTGTTAATGAGGTATAATTGGCATAACATTGTATTAGTTTCAGCTGTGTGGCACGTGGCTTTCTCAAATTCTGCCGCTCCCCCCACACTTCATTATGGCTCTGCAGTCTTCTCTGCGTTAAACACGCCCTTTTCCTTATAAGTCAGTCTTTCCCTGACTTAAGTGACATTGCATATTTAAGGTTCTCCCAGATCACAGTACCTCTTTTTTATATTCCTTGCTGGGAATGTAATTATTCCCTTTAGTCTAATTATAGTCCCTTACTCAGTTCGACCTACTGCCTTGCCATCACCTCAAAGGCACCAAACAAAAGCAGGCCTTCTGCCAAGAACTCTTCTAGTTTGAGTGTTGTGGTCAGGAGGAGTTAGGTAGAATAAAGTTATCCTGAAGAGTAAATGAAATAATCCGTGTCGTCTAGCAGGGGTCTGATTAAAGAGCATTCAAATGTCACTAGTGCTTTTTATATCAGCTAACATATTGTTTCTTTTGACGCATACTCCTTTTACTGTTACTTTCAAGCTCAGGCCTTTCCCCACCTTTTTTTTAAAGATATATTTATTTTATACTCACAAGAACTGGTGTACAGGCGCCAGCGGTGCAGGTGGTGAGAGGGTTCACCAGAGACATTGGGGAACAGAACAGGCAAATGACCGGAAATACACTTGCTGAGGGGGGCAGGGAGTGAGACAGGAGAGGTCTGTTGCACAGTTTGGGTGACCTCCCTGGTCAGAGATCGAACTAGTGCTGCAGTGGCTGTGGATAGCTTCCTAGCACTGCACATTAACCAGCTGAACAACCCGGGAGGGTCCACTTAGCAACTTCTTAATTGTCCTCCCTGGTATTTTGTACATTCAGTCAACAAGTATTCATCAAGGACATAGTTTATGTCAGGTCTGCACTGTTTTGAAGACACCAAGATGGATGAGGCAATCTTCTTGCCTCATTTGTTGGATACATATATTTTCATTAGTATATTAGACTGCTTGGGGGCCATAATAGAATACCACAGAGTTGTTCTTAGACACCAGAGATTTATTTTCTCATGGTTTTCAAGACAGATAGGACAAGATCAGGGTGCCACAGGATAGGTTTCTAAGAGTCCTCTCGTCCTGACTAGCAGACAGCTGCCTTCTATCTGTAGCCTCACGTGGCCTTTGTGCATGCAAACTCCTGGCCTCTCCTCCTCTTATATGGACACTTATTCTATTGGATTATGTCCTCATTTAACCACAATTATCTCTTAAAATAGTCTCTCTACACATACTGTCACATTTGGGGTGAAGTTTCAACATAAAAATTTGGGAGAGACAGAAAATGCTTTCCACCACAGTTATGTAAAGTGCTTGCTAAAACAAGGAGGGATTATTATTTCTTCCCAGAGGAAGTTTCAGAAAACTTCAAAAGCTCTGAGGAGGTGTTTTACGATTGCAACATCACAAGTCACCCCAAAACTTAGTAGTTTAAAATAACGATCACTTGGGCCCTCCATGGTGGCGCAGCGGGTTAAAGCACAGCACTGAGAAGCTAAAGCCACTTCCACATGAGTTCGATTCTCGCCAGACCCGGAGGTGACCACATGGTGCAGCAGACCTCTCCTGACCCGCCCGCTGCTCCCCTCAGCAGTGTACTTCATCAATCTGCCCGTTCTGCTCCCCACTCTGTCTCTGGTGAATCCTCTCACCCTCCGCATCTCTGGCCTATACCCCAGTTCTGTACGAATAAATAAATAAATCTTTTAAAAAATAAATAAATAACGATCACTTTATTATCCTGTAGTTATTCTGAGGGGGCTTAGGTAGGTAGTTCTCATTTGTGCACACTCAGTCAGTTAATGACCAGTCCTAGAGTCTTCCTGAAGGGTCTTTGTGGATGTTCTGCAAAACACTGATGAATATCTTCTGACAGAAGGGTAATTGGGTTAGAACAGTGAATGTCCCAAGACCAGGTCAAAGCTTTCTGCTTTTATGGCCTAACCTTACTGGTGCACTCATAGGTCCAGCTGGTTTTAAGGATAGAGGAAAGAGCCAGTGGAAGGATTTGTCATAACATTATAAAAAGGATGATATGAGTGGGAGCCATAACAATATGGGGCATCTTGTGATGACCACCTTGGAAAATTGTCTGTGTGGGACAGACCTTGAAGATAAAATGGGATTACTCCATATGAAGGTACTGAATATGAAAAAGTATAAGGTTTATTTGGGAACAGCAAATTGGTCTTGTATTTGGGCAGAGATCTTGTGTTAAAGAAGTGTCAGAGGATAATGCTGAGAAGGGTGTTTTAGTTAGATTAGCAATGAGAAAGCTTATAAATCAGGTTTATAAGTAGTTAAATGATGGCCAATTCTTTACCGGAAATAGCTGGTATTAATGTAAAAGGTAGATTTTGAGCAGCAGTTCTCACTTGTTTGCTTCACATTATTTCTGTGGGTAACAGAACTTCTAATTTCTTTTTTTTTTTTTTTAACAGAGACAGAGTGGGGAACAGAGCAGGCAGATCGATGAAGTACACTGCTGAGGGTAGCAGCGGGTGAGACAGGAGAGGTCTGCCACGCCAGTGGATCACCTCTGGGTCAGGGGATCAAACTCACTGAAGCGGCTGCTGCCAGCTTGCCATGCTGCACTTTAACCGGTTGCATCACCAGGGAGGTCCATTTCTCATTTCAGAAATTCCTAATGTAAAGAATATGGTGTGCTAAGGTTAGGGGAGAGAAGTACAGTACTTATGCCAGAATCTCACGTAGGGTGTGCTACTTTGACTTCACAGAATACTTGCTCCAAACAATTTTTTTTTTTTTTTTAAGATTTATTTGTGCATACAGACCTGGGGTACAGGCCAGAGGTGCAGGGGCAGTGAGAGGATTCACCAGAGACAGCAGAGACAGAGTGGGGAGCAGAATAGGCAGATCGACGAAATACTCTGCTGAGGGGAGCAGTGGGCGGGTCAGGAGAGGTCTGCTGCGCCTTGTAGATCACCTCTGGGGCAGGCGGGGTTCGAAGTCATGCAGAAGTAGCTTTAGCTTCTTAGTGATGTGCTTTAATCCGCTGAGCCACCAGGGAGGGCCCCCAAATAATTAAATGAGATTAATAAGGAGGAACTTCCGTAGTTAAGGGGAAAATGGGTGAGGGGGAAGTGAACCTTGGTAGTGGTGCAAAAGAGATGAGGTAATAAGTTGGTTATGGTAAAGAAAGTCAAAAATAAAGGTTTTTATTGTTGGGTATCTTATAGCAACCTTATGTAGGCAGATACAGACACTCGTTCAGTTCTCACAGATGAATAGATAATGATTTGCCTAAGATCTTTTAGCTGTGAGAGCCAGAGGTACAGTTTTAGCCTATTTCTGGCTCCATGCTTATGCAACATTGTGACCCTTAAGAAAATTAAGGAAAAAAATTTTGTAGCAGAAAAGTATCAGTTTGCTTTCAGAGGAAGAAAAGTATACATTCTGTAGGACTTCAGAGGAGCTGAGCTATCAGCAGCTACCAACGCAAGGCTGGAGTTTTGGAGCATTTGAAGAGCACAATTACAGACTTTGGGGATGTCAGCAGTTAGATTTGAGGCCAGCAATTGGATAGCATCATCCAGAAAGAGAACAAGCGGGGAAGGGAAATGGCAGTTTTGGGAGACTGGGAGGTATGTAAGGGACTGGTGGAAAATGGGTTCGGAAGTATTTTAAGAAGATGATCAGTGACAAGTCCACTATATCCATCACGTGCCACGTCCCTGGTGAGTGATAAACCCCTCATCCTAGCATTTGTTCTCCCATACTGACTCCACCCTGACCTTTGAAACAAACCTGTCTTGCTCTTCTCCAATGTATAAACTGTTCATTCTAACGAGATCAGCCTTTTATGTTTGTACACAGTCACACCCTTCCTCCACGTCTTTGCTCATATGTGCTCCCTTATAGACTTCGGTTAGCAGGTCAGTCTGGTTTTGAATTTAGGCTCCTCCAGTCCTGGGCTTTGGAGTATTGAAGCCCAGGCTCACATCTCTCATCTGAAAGCAGTAATGACTACTCCCCTGTCTTACAGAGTTGTGCAAATTGATGACATTTGTTTGTAAAGGTCTGCCTAGCAGGCAGCGCTTCGTAAATACCACCCTTCTTTCACTGTTTGGAGCTTCGGCCTAGGGTCTGCCAGGCTCTGCTATTCTGGCCCTTTTGGATGTCTCTCTTCAGCAGTTCTGTATCTTGTAGTGAGTATGAGTAGCCTTCATAATATCTCAGGTACAGCATTAAAGCTAGATGAACATATGGAAACCAATGATGAAGTAAAAGGCAGTTAAAATTCACCATTTCTTGCCTTTAAGGAACTTAGGTCTAGAAGAGGGAACTGTACCACCTTCCTTCCTCACCCCTCCACCAAAATCTGATTCTCTTAAGACTGGAAACCTGGGCTCCCAGTGTGCCCCACAGCCTCTTGTTTGGGCATTCAGCTTCTACTGCTTTGCTTTACTTCCCATTTGTATTGTCTATGCTGGCTCCAAAATCACATTATAGTCTTTTATTTGTTTCTTATGGAAGTGTGAAATTCAGCCTTTGTATCAAATCAGCATAATTTTGCCTTCTGGTTGTTTTTCTCCTGTTCTTTATTTCCCTTGATAGTAAAACGCCAAGGTAATAATGTGCTAGTTTACATTTGTGAATTTTATTGAAATGAGGTAAGTACAGAAAAGGAATCTCACTCTAGTTAAAGCAAATAAAATATAACATAAAAGTTCTGGAATTGGTATCTGGCACATAGTAGATGTGCACTGATCTTTAATTAGAAAGAATTATCAAATAAAAATTATTTTCTCTTTAAGACTTTTTTCCTGCTATTCATGGCATGATTAGTGTTATAAAATATTAGTAATAATAACTTTTTTAATGATTTACTTATAGAACTAGGGTACAGGCCAGAGGTAAGGTTGCAGAGGCGGGCGTGAGAGGATTCATCAGAGACAGTAGGGAGCAGAACAGGCAGATCTACTGAATACACTGCTAAGGGCAGCAGTGGGTGGAACAGGAGAGGTCTGCTGTGCCATGTCGGTCAGCTGCCCAGCCAGGGATTGAACTCTTGGCTGCAGTGGCTGTGGGTAGCTTCATAGTGCTGTGCTTTAACCCATTGTGCCACCAGGGAGAGCCCAATAACTGTTTTTTTAACTCAGAATTCTTTTCAGTTTCAACTTGTTACAAAATGTGCTGTCTGTTCCTTCTAAATTTGGGGGGGGGGGTTATGGTAATTTTTGCAAATTTCTCCCATTCTCATCTTTAAAGAATCCAAACTCTTTTAAGTTCTTGATAGAACTAGAATAGAGGTGATGCCATTGTTGAAGTCATTATTTCCAAATATGAGTTCCCTCAGTATATGAACTTCTTGCTAACCAGCATCAAACCTCAAATCCATTGGGATACATTTTCTAGATGGGGCTTGTTTGGTGGCAGTGATTTTTCTTGATATCCAGACTCACTCTGTAAAGCTTGGGAAGCTTTTGGAGTCTGAGAGTCTTAAGACACACCAGGTTTTCTACTGAGATCTCTACCCTTCATACATCCAGTGTTGCATTCAGAATAAGGGAGTGGAATCGAACCAGGTGTGTTGGATTTATTATGCAAAACCATGAACCGCATGTGTTTTTAACTTTTTTTTAAGCATTTGCCCATATTCACTGGTATGTTTATGCATTGAAAGGCATAGCAACTCATAGATTATGGCTTTCCAGTTGGCCAGAGTAACTACAAGCAGGTCTCGTTTTACTGCGCTTTATTGCACATTGGAGAGCCTGCATTTTTTTATAGATTGAAAGCTTGTAGCAACTCTGCCTTGAACAAGTCTGTGGGGCCTCTTTTCCCAGCCTCACTTCATGTCTGTCATATTTAATGTATACTTTTTTTAAACATAATGCTACTACACACTTAACTAGACTACAGTATAGTATAAACATAATTTTTATATGCACCAACCAGGAAACCAAGACATTTTTGTCTTGCTTTGTTGTGACACTTGTTTTATTATGGTTGTCTGGAACCAAACCTGTAGTATGTCCAAGTTCTACCTGTTTTGTTTGTGTGTCTTTGATTTGAAAAAATAAGAAAACTTGAAAATTTAAGTGCTGTTCAATGTCCAACAAACTTCAAAAACCTGGGATCCATAAATAAGGATGCTGTCAGTTGTGTCTTGAGAACGAATTGTCTTTCCTTTGCCCTTGCCAATCTTCCTTGAGTAAATTGGACAATAGCTATCTAGCCTACACTTGAGCCTTTGACAATTTGTTCTTTTAAAAACTATTAAAGTAATACATGCTTGTAAAATTTAGAAATATGTCTAATAAAAAATAAAATTCTCCTTTACCCCAGTCTCATTTCCCTTGTTAGATTTGCTCTGTTACAATATTTTGGGGACCAAGAAATTTTTAAAGGGAAACATACATCCACTGAATACCTAATATGTCATAACTAAAATCTTATTCCTTGGGACCTCTTCATTGATTTTTTTTACCTTCTGTTTTCAAAACTGCTCTGAATTAACCCAGAAGCCCACCACCCTGATCAGCAGGAGCTGTCTCTGTTAGCCTACTGTGAGCCTTGCTTTTCTGAGGCAGGCTACTTACATAGCCACTCTGCCTTAGTGAGAATGACCTCCCCAGCAGGCAGAGGCAAGCGCAGGAAGACATCTAGTACCCTCATTATTTGACCCTTTTAAAGGATGGATTTAAGCCAAGAGACACTGAATGTGGAAGTAAGAACTTTCTCATGCACACACGAGAACTTTCTCATGCACCATACACTGCACCTTAGTACTTCATAATTTCCATCCAAGTGATGCAGCACTGGCTTCTTACCTGACCTGTAAAGTTCAGAGATTGGTCCCATAAACACCTGCCAATTGATGTGTTGTTACAAGGCCTTGGTCTTTAAGGCACCATCCAGTTCTTAAGAGTTTTCAGCTGGGAGTATTTCGACATTCAGGTAGTTAGTGTGTCTTACCAACACCCTCACATGTCTTTGGAAGGAAGGTGTGTGACACTTAACTTTTTATTGAAACTTATTTTGCGTACACTGCACCAAGCAGTGTTCCTAAGCATATGTTAATTTGTGTACTCTTCACAACAGCTATATGAGTTAAATATTTGTATCTTTTTATAGATGAGGAAACTGAGACACAGAAATTAAAACGTGATGCTAAAGTCACAGCCAGTATAAATGCAGACAGTTTGACATTTTCTCAGAAAATGTACTTGTGATGTCAGCAGAGCTTCATTTTGAAATGCTGAGCACCTCTTTGTACCTAGTGTAAAAGTTTGCCAAAAGGTGAGACATGGTTTCAGCTAAAGTAATCTTCCTTCTGTTACAAGCTGTTTTCCAGTTCAAGTTTCAGATCAGCTGCATCTTGTTTTCTATTTGAATACAGCTCGCTGAAACATTTCTCTGCCAATAAATGCAGGGCAGCCAAGTGCTTTTCTTTTACACCATCTCTTTCCACCTTCTCTCCAGAGTCAATGCCTGTGTGGATGTCGTGCTCTCAGGGGTGAAGCTCTTGCAGGCCCTTGGCCTGAGTCCTGGGGATGGGAAAGACCATACCGTTCTGCATTCAAGGACTGATCTGGAAGAGACCTTCATTCACTTCATGGGAAAGGGAGCAGCTGCAGAGCGCTTCTTCAGCGATAAGGAAGCCTTCCACGCCATTGCCCAGGTGGCCTCAGAGTTCCCAGGAGCTCAGGTCTGTTGGCTTAGCTTGCCTTAGGCTGGCAGAAGATAACTTCTTTGTTCCTAGAAACAATCCAGCAACTTTGTCCTCCAGTTTGCACCAGAAGGGGCCTCCAGTACTGCAGTGTCTTCCCTTTTTGTAAAACTAGCTGATCTTCCATGACCCTACTGCTTCAATTCAGCCAACACTTAAAAAGCACATTTACCAAATTTTGGTTCTGGTTCATCCATTAAATTGTTCATTTTCATATTAGCCAAGTTTGAGCTAGGAAAATTATCTATTCTTAATTCATCTGCATGAATTCATATTGTTTGTATTATGGTAGCTTGCAGTAATCTTAATATGGCTGAGTCCTTTGAACAGGAGAATAAGATCACACCCACAGGAGAGCTGGTCTAGACTTTTCCTGGGAAAGAGGGGACTGGATTCTCACCTCTGCTCTTAATAAGTTGGTCCAGAGGACAGTTTCTCAACTTCAACGCTATTAACATTTTGGGCTGGGTAATTTCTTTTTGAGAGGGCTGTCCTACACATTGAGAAATGTTTGTCAGAATGTCTGCCTCTGCACGCTAGATGGAGTGGCACAACCCTTCATCCCCAGCCGTGACAGCTGAAAATGTCCCCAGGCACAATCAAAGGTTTCCAAGCTCTCTAGAAAGAAGGAGACAAAATCATCCTAGGTTGCAGTTGTCTCAGACCTGAGCATGCAACAGAATTATGTGAAGGGTTTTTTTGAAACACAGTCCTGAATCCTGCACCCAGAATTTCTAATTCTATTGATGTGGAATGGCACCCAATAATTTATCTTTACAGCAAGTTTCCTACTCACTTATATTAATGCCTTGTTTTGAGTTGTACATCTCTGCCTACCTATCAGCGACAGAGAGAATCTTGGGAGAGAGAGGTATCCGTGCTCCCCCCCCCCCCCCAGCCCCCATCGTGATCACAAAACCCTGGGCCAGTGAGGTCCAGCTATCTCCTGAGGCTCATACTAAGTAAGAGGCTAGAACAGCGACCTCACTTGGCATGTCCCGGTCCGGTGAGGAGCAGTTTGCCTTGTTTATTTAAACATGTCTCCATCACACTCCTTAACTCCATTCCTCTTACTCACCTAGAATTTTGCCTGGACATCCCAGTCTGGGTGTGGTTTTCACTGAGGAGGTTTTTAAAAATGCCATTTTTAATTGGTACCTTTCACAGGCCACCCTGTGAAAAGACTTTTTCCCTTGAAAGCTGCCCGTTTGAACATTACAAATGAGCACAGGCTTAATCCGGCTGAGTTTCCAAAGCATTTGCAAGCTGTTAAAATTTAAGTTACAATGATTTTGACTACTGAGCTTGGTAGTGAAGTGTTGATCTCTCCTAAGATTCTCGATTGTGCTAATAAAACAATGTATTTAAACCACCTGTTGATTTTTGTTCTATTCTAGGTTGAACCCTGCCTTTGTTGTTTCATTTTGCAACAACAACTGAATTTCTACAGACTTTACCTAGTTTTTTTGACCATCTGAGCTATTTCTTAACATTGTAAAACCTTAAGTGTGCTGCTTAACCTCTCGCTACAGTGACACTTCACTTGGTACTTTTTCACATTCCATTGAAGTAGAAGGCAGGTTGGCTGCTAAAATAGTTTATAACTGTTACATGAAACTGTAAAATCTACTTCATAAAGTCTTAATATTTTCCCTTGAGATTTTTAATAAGTTCTTATCTAATTGGGACCACATTTCAGAAGATATACAGAAAGTTTCAAATCTATAGGAAGCTATTACTATTCCTCCCTGATCCAGAAGTTGATATAAAACTTGGAGTAAAAGTGTTGTTCAGAATGAATTGTTGTAGTCTGTGCCTCTGGATGGGCCTAAGGACTAGGAAGGTAAGATAGTAGCATCCCACGCAGACAAGACTCTTGCTTTGGCTTCTCAGTTTTCACAGTAGAACATCAATCCTTTCTAGTGGTGGCCATATTCCAAATCATGTGATTCCATCCTTAGTCAACGGCATAGAATACCAGTTGATTACCTGCTCTGCTCTGCGAGGTCCTCAGCTAGGAGATGGAAAATTTAGGAGAAAATACTGTCCATTATGAGGACCCATTACTTTTAGAATTTATTCCCAGGAAATTCTTGGTATGTTCTAATGCATTAGTGTGTTCCTTCCTTTCTCAAAACATGCACTGGGTGCTTATCGTATTGAGACAGTTTCTACCCTGAAGGAGCTAGTCATCTACCCAGTAGTAATAGCCCAGTGAACAAGAGTTACTGGATGCTCATTTAGAGAGCAGAAATCAAGGGATCTGTAATTCTCTGGGCAGGGGGAGGGAACAGAAGCCATTGCAGCAGAGGTGGCACTGCAGCTGACTGTTGAGGAGTGGGAAAGATTTTACTAAGGCCTGAGAGGGGGCAGGCATCTAGTCAAAAGAATAAGAGTATTCTGAAGGCCCTGAGACACAGAAGCAGGCTCACCTGGAGTGCAGCAGAGAAGGCAAAAGATGAAGGTTGAAAGGAGAGCTAAGGGCCGACGAAGGCCTGTGTGCCCCAGAAGAGTGATTTTGCTCATTGTAGTAGTGACCCAGTGAGTCTCAGGAAGAGAGTGATAAGATTTATACTCATTTTAGAAGGATTATAGTGTGGGAACCTGCCATACTTTTCAGTTCTCTTCTGGCCACCTGAAAGCTCAAAACCAAACTTAATCTATGGTTCAGTCAAATATACGAATTGTCACAGTTAGCATTTTTGTTTTTTTCACCTTTCCTTACAAATTATTGACTATTAGCTTATGGGTTAATGTACTGTTACCTTCCTCTGTGAGTCTCTAGAGTTAAACTTGGGTACATTGTTGTACTAAAATGCTGTCTAAAACCTTGAATTCTCTTACAGCACTATGTAGGAGGAAATGCAGCTTTAATTGGACAGAAATTTGCAACCAACCCAGATTTAAAGGTAGGTCAAATTCCCAGATTAAAACTCATGACTTTTGTCAGTTTTAATAATTTTAGGAGAAAGAATGAGTATCTGCTCCTTGATTCAGCTTATGAGCCACCTACCATGTGCTAGCTCCTGGGCCTGTTACTAGGAGGTGATGTGGTAACGGTAGGAGAGCAGTAATGGCTGATGCTTCCTGAGTGCTTTTTGTGTGCCTGAGGTTGGTGGTGCCTAAATACCTCATTTAATCCTTGCAAAAACCCGTAGGCAAGTTTGTACTACTACTGGTGCTGTTACTGTCTCCTTATGCATGAAGTTTGAGATAGTTTCACAATGAATAAGAAATGAAAACTGCTCACTCTAGACTCCATAAGTATTAAAAGGTGTGTTGGTGAAGAGCCTGAGACAGGAGATTATGCAGTGACAAGAGAAAAGAGGTGGCTGTATTGGTGAGCCTGCATCCAGAGTGTTAAAACATGGAGGCCATTCAAGGAAAGGTCAGCAGTGAAGCCGTTTAAGTCTTAAGCCATTTGGTTTAAGTAGAATTTAAAAATGAAGGGTCTCCTTGGCAGCTATAGGGGTTAAATCTCAGCACTATGAAGTTTTAAGCAGCTACTGCAGCACTATCCCCAGCCACGGAGGTGACCCACACGGCACAGCAGACCTCTCCTGTCTTGCCTGCTACTCCTGGCAGCAGTGTATCTCCATAGATCTGCCTATTCTGCTCCCCACTCTGTCTCTGTGAATCCTCTCACTTTCCATCTACATCCAAGCCCTTGTGTGCACAAATAAAATAAATCGTAAAGGAAAAAACAATTTAAAAATTACTGCTGTGTTCAAAACAACATATGAGTAAGAATTTTTTTTTGCTATGAATGATAATGGGCCTAGTGAAGAGACCAGCAGGGAGGCTATTGTTATGGTCCTAATGCAGAGTGATTGAAGTTTAGGTAACAGCAACCAGAAGAACTATCTGAAACCTACTAAAATGGAATCACTCAGTGCTATACCATAGATGGGGACACAGAAGCTAGATTTAACAAGATGATTCCAAAGTAAGCAAGCTTGATACGTACAGATAGGTGTGGCTCTGTTTGGGGAAGCAGCCTGAAAATGGAAATAATGATCAACAGAAGAAAAAACCCACACAGGGACCCAGTAATACAGATGAATGACCAGCAGGTTGAGGGAAAGAATGCCTGTGAAACCACAGTGTACTTAGATGTGGAAAACACAGTAAGGTGTGATCATCTACATTTTCCTAAGAATTAAAGTTATCATGAAATAAAAAAATAGATACTTTGCAGTCATGATATTTCTAGATAATAAATTCCCAAATAGGGAAGATTAGAAGTTCTAGAGCTAACCTTCAGAAATATTGTCATTAATGGACAGAAGAGACAAAAAGATTGATTATAAACTCCTGAGAAAGAGCCCAGGCCCAGGCCCTCCCTGGTGGCGCAGCAGGTTAAAGCACAGCACTGCAAAGTAGCTGCAGCAGCCTCAATGTACTTTGATCTCTGGCTCAGGAGGTGACCCACAGGGCCTGGCAGACTGCTCCTGTCTTGCCCACTGCTTCCCCCAGCAGTGTATTTCATGGATCCACTTGTTCTGCTCCCTACTTTGTCTCTGGTGAGTCCTTTCACCTTGCCTGCGCTTCTGTCCTATACCTCAGTTCTGTATGCATAAATAAATCTTTAAAAAAAAAAAAAAAAGAGCCCAGGCTCTACCCTGCAGAATCCTAGACATTTGTATAGGTCCCTAAAATGCCACCTTGCTGACCCTGAGAACCAATTCGGCCCCAGGGAGGACAACACTCTGGAAGTCTTAGGTGAGAACAAGATAGAACATACAACACTGACACCCTGGACCAGCTTTTGCTGTTGGTCTCTGGAGAAGCAGGGCCAGGGACTGGGTTAATTCAGAAGCATGTGGTAAAACAAACCAAACATTGGTTGGAGTTTGAAAGGAAAACAAAGGATTCTGTTTTGCAGTCCTCACAACAGGCTGATAAGTAAGATATTATCATCCCTGGGCTCTCCCTGGTGGTGCAGCAGGTTAAAGCACTGCACTATGAAGCTCTCTGAAGCCACTGCAGCACGAGTTCTATCCCTGGCCAGGGAGGTGACCCACAATGCATGGCAGACCTCTCCTGTTTTGATTAGTTTTTCTATGGCCCACCCACTGCTCCCCTCAGCAGTGTATTTCAGTAGATCTTCCTGTTCTGCACCCCACTCTGTCTCTGGTGAATCCTCTTACCCACCACACCTCTGGTCTGTACCCCAGTTCTATAAGCATAAATAAATAAATCTTTAAAAAAAAAAAAAGATACCACATCTTTAAAGATGATAAAGAGGTCCAGAGAGGTTAACTAATGTGCCCAAAGTCATCAGCCAGTAAGTGATGGAGTCAGAGTTCCAGTGCTGGGTGCTGTTACGCACTCTTTTGTTAGGTTTATTCTAAGTATCTGACTTTTTATTGTAAAGGGAATTTTTTTTTTATTTCTACTTCTTCTGATTAGTTGTTTGTATATAAGAAGGCTACTGACTTTTGTGTGTTGATTTTATAACTTGCAAACTTGATAAACTCGTTAATTGTTTTGGCTAGTTTTTCTGTGATGTTCTTAGATTTTCCATGTATATTATATCATCTACAACTACAGATAGTTTTACTTCTTCCTTCCCTATTTGGATTCTTTGTGTGTCTTTTTTTCCTATCTTACTGCTCTGGCTAGCACTTCCGTTATGTTGAAGAGCAGTGGCAATAGTGGACATCCTTGTCTTGTTCCTGATCTAAAAGGAAAGGCTTTCAGCTTTTCTCCATTGAGGATAATATTGGCTGTGGGTTTGTCATTTGTGGCTTTTATCATGTTGAGGTATGTCCCTTCTATTCCAGTGATTTTGAGGGCCTTAAAAAAAAATGAACTTTGTCTAGAATGCCTTCTCTGCATCTATTGATATAATCATACTTTTTTTTTTTTTTTTGTCGGTTGTTGTGATGGATTACATTGATTGATTTTTGGATGTTGAACCATCCTTGTGCCCCTGGTATAAAACCCACTTGGTCGTGGTGAATTACTCTTTTAATGTATTGTTGGATTCTGTTGGCTAAGATTTTATTGAGGATTTTTGCTTCAGTGTTCATTAGGGACATTGGTCTGAAGTTTTCTTTTTGTGTTGTCTTTGTTAGGTTTTGGTATCAGTATGATGTTGGCTTCATAGAAAGTATTTGGTAGTTTTCCTTCTTTCTCAATTTTTTGAATGAGTTTTTGCAGGATGTCTGGTCTTGGGCTTTTATTCTTTGGAAGTGTTTTATTACTGCTTCAACTTCACTGCTTGTTATTGGCCTGTTTAGTTCTCTTTCTTCTTTAACTAGCTTTGGATAATTGTAGAGTTGTAGGAATTTATATATCTCTTCTAGATTATTGAACTTGTTTGCATATAGCTGTTCATAGTATTCTTTGGTTATTATTTTGATTTCTGCTGTATCTGTTGTTATTTCGCCTCTTTCATTTATGATCCTGTTTATTTGTGCTTTCTCCAGTTTTTTTCTTTGTGAGCCTGGTTAGGGGTTTGTCTATTTTGCTTCCTTTTTCAAAGAACCAACTTTTGGTTTCACTGATATTTTTTATTGTTTACCTGACATCTATTTCATTTATCTCTGCTTTGACTTTTATTATTTCCTGTCTTTTATTGGGTTTTTGGGTTATTCTTTTTCCATTTCTTTAAGGTGGAAGATTAGATTATTTCTTTGAGTTGTTTCTTGTTTCTTTGTGTGTTTGTATTGCTATATATTTTCCTCTTATAACTGCTTTTAATGTGCCCCAAAGTTTTGTAGAGTTGTGTCCCTGTTGTCATTCTTCTGAAGGTATTTTTTAATTTCTTTCTTAATTTCCTCATTGTGAACCAATGGCTCTCCAGTAGTGGGGGTTTCATGAAGTAGTTGGGTTTCTTGCCTTCTTCACATGGTTAATTTCTAGTTTGATTCCTTTGTGATCAGAGAAGATAGTTGGTATGATTTTTATCTTAGTGTATCTAATGATATTTGACTTGTGTCCCCATATGTGGTCAATCCTTGAGAATGATCCATGTGAATTTGAGAAAAATGTGTACTCAAGATTTTTTTGGATGTAGTGTTCTGTAGATGTCTGTTAAGCCCAAGAGTTGTAGATCCCTGTTTAGAGCTTTAGAGTCCTTGCTTATTTTTTGTCTTGTTGATCTGTCCATTGTTGAGAGTGGCATATTGAAGTCTCCTGCTTCGTATGTGTTTTCTCTAATATAGGTTTCCTAGATGACAATAGTTTTCTGATATATTTTGGTGCTTCTTCATTTGTTGCACATAAGTTGATGAGTGTCATGTCTTCTTGCTGTATGGTCTCTGTATTCATAATGCAGTGGCCATCTGCATTATGGCTTTTTTAGCTTGAAGTCTATTTTACCTGATACAAGAATAGCTATTCCTGCCTTCTTTTTTGGTCCATTTGCTTTTAGGATTGTTTTCCATCCTTTTACTTTCAATCTGTTTCTATCTTTTGTAGTTAGATGTGTTTCCTGGAGATAGCATAAAGTTGGGTTCTGTTTTTTAATCCAGCCTGCCACTCTGTGTCTCTTTATTGCTGAGTTTAAACCATTTACATTTAGAGTTAATATTGATACATGGGCACCTACATTTGCTGTTTTGTTTTTCTTTTTGTGTTTTTATTCTTTATTTTGATCTGTTCATATTCATCCCTCTCTTGGTTTTGCCTTAAGGATTCTTGTAGTATTTTTTAGAGTGGGGGTTTAATCTTGACAAAATTTTGGAGTTTCTGTTTGGGAATGTCTTTATTCTTTCTTCATAGAGCTTTACAGGATAAAGTATTCTTGGTTGGCATTTGATATCTTAGAGTTTGTTGACTATGTCCCTCCTTTCTCTTCCTCTCCTTAGTATTCCTTCAAAGAAGTCTGGTGTCAGCCTGATTAGTTTCCCTTTATAAGTTACTTGTTTCTTCCCTTTGTCATTCACATTATTTTTCCTTGTCTTGGATTCTTGGGAGCTTTACTATATGTGTCTTGCTGTATTTCTCCTTTCATCATGGTAGTTTGGTGTTCTTCTCACTTTTTGTATATCTATTTTCATCTCCTTCATATAAGGGAACTTCTCTTCAATTATTTCTGTGAATATTTTCTTGATTCCTTGGCCTTTTTCCTCACTTTCTGGGAGGCATATTCTTATGTTTCCTTTCCTCCTGGTGTCAGATAGTTCTTGGAGTGTATCTTCATTCCTTTTCCTTTTTACTTCTTTCTTTTTCTGTTTGTTTCTCTTTATTTCTGTGTCTTTGAGAGTGCTGATTTGTTCTCCTATTTCATCTGTTCTGTTTTTGTTGCTTTTCCCAGAATTCTTTATCTCCTCCAGTGATCTTTTAATCTCCTGCATTCCTTTTATTTCCTTTTTAAAAATTTTTTATAATATAATAATTTATTTTTATATCATTTTGTGCCTTTTTCCTTTTTATTTCCTTTTTAAGGTCTTGTTTTCATTCTTCAGCTCATTGCTTATTCATCTCATATCATTTTTTTCCTTTTCATCTTCTTTTTGTTTATCATGATTCTAAATTCTCTGACAGAATGAGCAGTTCTTCTAGTCTTTGTTGATTTCTGTGGTGAATTCTTCCCCTGTGGACTTGCTTGGTTACTTGAATTTTTTCTTCTCCCTGTCATTTGTTTCCCAATGCTTTCTATGCGTTGAGACACTGAGTTGCTAGTATTGGCCAGCATTTCTTCTGGGTGCCCCTTCTGGAATGGCCCAAGGGATGTTCTTATTGGTGGATGTTCTTGTTGGTGACGGTGGTCCCTCTGTTGCCTCATTTCATTGGTGGTCTCTGTGCTCCTTTTGGCAGTGGTCTCACCCCTGGCCTAGTTTCCAATTCGGATGAGTAAGTAGTGGTGCTTTTCCACTGTCCAACTTCTAGTTATGACCAAGTGCTGTAGGCTGCCCTTTACTGCAGGGGGACCCTGCCTGCTCCAGTGAGCTGCAGTCACACCCTGCTGCCCTTTCTGTTACTAGTCAGGAGCAGAGCGCAGGCTGCCCTACCCCTCCTGGCTGGCTGGCAGGCAGTGGCCTGGGAAGCTAGAAAAAAGTGCAGATTTCCCCTTTGGCCACGCCCTGCGGTTTTCAGCTAATGGTGGGAGCTGAGTGCAGGCTGCCTAGCCTCTCCACCATGGTTGGTAATGTCCTGGGGAGGGCGCAGATTTCTCCATTCATGCAAAGCCCTGCCAGTTTCCCCCGCTTTTGGTCACTCCCTGCTATTTTCTACTAATGGGTGCTAGCTGCCGTGCCTCTCTTGGCTAGTAAGGTCCAGGGGAGTAGAAAGAGCACATTTATGCCATTTACCCATTCATGGCAAAGCCCAGGGGAATGAAAGCGCTAGGAGCCCCATTCACAGTAGAGACCAGTCAATTCCAGTAGCAGAGGTGAGCTTTGTCTAGGGCTGATTCCAAGTCTTGTTCGCTGGCTGCCACTCCCTGCCTGGCTTCCCTATCAGGGAATCACTGCTCAAGGCAGGAGTGCTGCCGCCCTGCCTCTGGGTGCATCAGGGGGCTGAGTGTTACCGGGGACTGGGCCAGACCCCTGCTCTGCCCCCAGTGGTAGCGAGAAGGCTGAGTCTTATCCTTCTCCTTGATATATTTAGATCATTTACATGTAATAAGATTACTGAGATATCAGGTTAGATTTTTTTTTTTAAAGATTAATTTTTGTATACAGAACTGGAGTACAGGGCAGAGGTGTGGTGGGTGAGAGTTTCACCAGAGACAGAGTGGGAAGCAGAACAGGCAGATGGACTGAAATACACTGCTGAGGGGAGCAGTGGGTAAGACAGGAAAGATCTGCTGCACCATGTAGGTCACCTCCCTGGTTGGTGATCGAACTCGTACTGCAGTGGCTGTGGACAGCTTCATTGTGTTGTGCTTTAACCTGTTGCGCCACCAGGGAGGGCCCTATCAGGTTAGATTTTTAAATATGGCATTTGTTTTCTATTTGTCCTACCTCTTCATCCTTTTTTTCTGCATTGTTTCAGGTTATTTTCTTCTATTTCTCACTACCTTTCTTGGTTTATTATTTTTAACTTGTTATGTTAGTGGTTACTTTAGGGTTTATAGTACATAATTTTAGCTTATCATGGTCTAGTTTCAAGTGATATGTACCACCACATTTAACATAAGAACTTCACAGTAGTGTGCTTCCATTTCTGCCTTCCATCTTTATACTATTACTGCTATGTAATTTACATATACATGTATATATAACATGTTAATATTTTTCTTTAAGCAGCATCATCCCTTCTATTTAAACAAGACCTTATGTCCTTACCCAAAGTTAGCATTTCTGGCACTCTTCTTTTCTGTTTAGTTCTGTATTTCCTTTGGTATCATTTCCTTTTATTTGAAGAATTCCTTTAATATTTCTTGTAGTACACATCTGCTGGTGATTAATTCATATTTAGTATCTGAGGGTAATTCACTGAACATTTGTAGAGCTTACTCAGTTTTTTCTTGTTCATTAGAAATCACTGTTCTTTGTTGCTCAGTGTCAAATTAAACATTGTTTATTATTTATTTTGTTTGGCTTGTTATTGTTAGGCAGAAGAGTGGGTCTGACCCTTGTTATCTCATCTTGAAAATTGAAAGTCTAACTTAGAGGCTAGACTCTGTTCCTCTAGGGACAAAACAAAATTGTAGGATCAAGACTTTTCAGAAGTGGCAAATACGGCACATGTCAAGTTAGAAAGAGAGAGAGGTATATTTTCACCCAGAAGCTAGGATTTCTTAGAAATGTGAACATTCCTCTTTAGGGAAAAAAGCAGTTAATTAGCAAGATCAGATGCTTTTCGAAGCTTCTGGGTAGTGCATATAAATCTAAATGGTGATGATCATCTTTAGAGACTTGCTTTAAATCCTGGCCCAAGCCCTCATTGTGTATTAGTGTCAACTGTGTTAGCCTGACTGAGTGAGACACAGAGCTGGCATGGTTAAGAGAGCAGATGTGAAATGGCTTCTAGAAAGAACAGCCACAGAGATGCTCAGCTTGAAGTTGAAGAAAAATGTTTTGGAAAAGTTACAGAGCACTTTCCCCCATGCTTTCCGAACTGAGAGATGCTCTTTAATTCTCATATTTGGAAAGCAAGCCTGTTCCCATAACTGTAGTAGAGAGGCTGATCCCACAGATTAGGCTGCCTGGTTGTTGAGGACATTGTCAACCTGAGGCTCTTTGCTGTATAAAATTCAAACATTTGTTTTCATTGGCAACTTTGAGTAGACAACATCCCCGTTTACTTACAGGTTATGATGTTAGTCAGCTGGACTGCCACAATAACAGAGGACTAGAGGCTGGGTGTCTTAAACAACAGGAATTTGTTTTTTTCACAAACTGCAGGCAAAAAATCTAAGATCAATGGATGCAGTGTAGAAAGACATCTCACCTCCTTTTTTGGTGGGTTGAGACCTCACCCAAATGACCCCATTTAATCTTATTTACCCTCTCTCCAGATACCATCACATGGCAGTTAAACTTCAGTATATGAATTTGGCAGGATAGAAACATTCAGAGCCTCATAGGATGTATGGAAGTTGGGGACTACATTGGTACCTGTCTAACATGTGTGACTTGAGTCTTTTGTGGGCCTCATTTCTGAGTACAAATCCTTTAGAGGCCTGACCCCTTTACAACCTTCCTCCATACTAAAAACTTTCAAAATTAGTTTTGGAGTCCATTATTTTGTTGAAATGAATAGACATGGCTTGGACATACCTTTTCAGTTAATGCACAGATTCCATGGGAAATGGGATGGCTCTCAGACTTCATTTTGTTTGTCTCCAGGTTCTTCTTTGTGGTCCAGTTGGTCCAAAGCTGCATGAACTTCTTGATGACAATGTATTTGTTCCACCAGAGTCATTGCAGGAAGTGGATGAATTCCACCTCATTTTAGAGTACCAAGCAGGTAAGAGAAATGAGTAAGTAATGGTGTATGAGACCAATCGGCGGACTGTGTATTGTTAGAGTGGGCTGTAAAAGTTAACTTTGAAAATTGTGAGGGCCCCATTCTTGCCAAACCAGACACATTCTTCCTCTTGACGCTGTGGTACTGCTGGCCGTGGTCTGAAGGAAGAGTGCTGGTATCTTGCAGCACTGCCCAAAACTCCTAGGTCCACAGCAATCCGAACCCAAGCAAGCCTACAAGAAAGCAGGTGTCATGCATAAAAATAAAATGCGTTAAACACATGTACCCAACATTTTTCTTTATTACTAAGAGAAGGCAGTAACATCTGCTCAGCCCTGCTGGATTCTGCCCTAGGCCTTTCTGGTCAGCTGCTTAAGATTGATTTCCAGTCACCTGCAAACTTCTTTTGAAGCATTTTCTTTCCCCTTTTGTGAATGTAAATAGAAGTGTTTTGTATTTAACAACACTTAATTTATTTCCCATTATGTAATATTCTGATGTTTATAAATCATATCACCCCATTCCAGTAGATTTTATGTGTTATACAGACTTGCAGATCTGATTTCTGAGAGAAACCTAAATACCTGAAAATATTTTATTCTGTTTATTTTGTTCTGTATATTTGCTTTCCTTTGCTCAGAACTCAGACTCCTGAATTTATGGCTCAGTGTGTTACTAATTCAAGTGAAAGATTGAAGCAGACAAAACAGACTAATTGGTACCTTAAAGCAGCACTTAACATGCTACAGTGAACTGCTTCCAAGTCAGATAATTAGGAGCATCTCGCCCTCTAGAGCCATTACCTTTAACATAAGATGTGAAATAAAGTGCTTTCTCCAACTACAGAGAAAAATAGCTTCCTGCTTCTGGTTCTCTTTGGGATACTTACTAGAATCAGGAAGCCAGGAAGGGTATGAAAATCAGGGACAGAATGTTGGCATACGCAGTTCACATTTAAAGATCCTCAAGTTTTGAGTTTCTCTCAGTTTGAGTTTCCCCAAATGGGAAATCATAGTTCTATTGCCTGCAGATTGAAACAGTGAGGATCAGAGGTCATCATGTCTCAGTACTGTGAGGGCCTAAAGCACAAGGCGTGAATGTGGCTGCTGACTGGAAGGGGCTTGGAGGTTTGCCGCTGCCACTCACAGGCCCAGGTTCACCTCGAGTTCACTATGGGCACTCACAGCATATCACCTGTGACCTGCCTGGTTCCTGTAACTTTCCCTGGTGAGTAGAGTGGAGAGGAGACTAGTTTCCTCCAGGAGGCTTTGCTGTTGTGTTTGCCAACAGTGCCTCAGATGCAATTAAGACAGCCCATCTTAGCCTGGAAGGAGGTTGTTTCCACTCTTGGAATAAGCAGCTTTGCTTTTCAGTTTTTCTTTTCTATGCCCTATTTTCTTAGTATAACAGTGGTTTCCACTGTTAAAATCCCTGTGAAGTTAAATTTTCATCAGCCCCAGGAAAGAACCTAGTCTGTGGGCAGCCACCCTCCAGTCTGCTCCATCTCTAGCTTCTCTCTTCATGGATGAGTCAATTCCCAGAGAAGACTGTCACCTCTTTTTCTCCTTCCAGCCCTCCCCCGTGGAGCTTATTTTCAGGCATTAGGCTGGGGATCCAGTGAGTCACTATATAACTTTTGTTAACTTACTAATGAAGGGCAGGATGATAAATTGAGAGAAGTGATAACTTATAGAAATAAAGTCCACACTTTGTGAGAAAAGGGGCAGCATCTGTCACTACAGGCTCACCCTGTCTGAGTTTTTGATCATTGTGTTTCTCAAGCTCTCCATCAGCCCTTTGTCCATGGAAACAGCCAGTGACCAGCTTTCCACATCCCCGTTTGTCTTATCCTTGCTGAAGCCTGTTGATTTTGCTTCTGTCACTTTTTCCCAGTGGAGATGAATTGACTTTGAATGCTGTGGCTCTTTCCTGCTAGGTCAGAATCAGATAGACAGTGCTTCTTAGTGTTTCAGTCTGTAAAGCCCACTTCCAGGTCTTGCCTAGAAGTGGAAAATCCTAAGTGTCATGTGTTTTCCTCTCTACAGAGTCTCATTGCTGGAAAAATGTTGAATTTGAAATTTATACCCATATTATTTGTCGTCATGGGCATTTAAGTTATCAGTCTGTTCTTACTCGTCTTGCTATTAATTCATTCACATGATTATATTCTGTGGTGTGAGGCAGTAGGAAAATGATGATAAGAAGACCTGGACGATGCCCACAGCTCACCATTCACTGTAAGAGACAGACTCTTACACTAATTATTGCTAAATCATGTTCCAGATCCTATAATAGTATACAGAAGTGGTCTAAGGAAGGAAGTGATCAAATCTCTTGTGGGTGGCAGAGTTAGGAAAGCCTTCACAGGGAAGGTTGTCCTGTGTTGGGTCTATAGAGATGAAGCAGAATTGAGATTCTGTTCTCATTACCCCTGGGTATTCCCTCTGGACAAGTAATGAGACTGGGGCCAGGAGGTAAGAAAGGAATGTGGTGTGTTAGCAAATACAACCATTGTGTCGGAGCTTAGTAAGTAGATAACATTATTTTCTGCTTTCACAGATCTGTATACAAATGACTCAATTATAAAATTTTTCTCACAGGATTAGATTCAGCAAAAATGAACCCAAAGCAGAGGAAACATGGGTTCTTCCAACCATGACACGCTTGCTGTAAAGAGTCATTCGTGCACACCTCCCCAGAGAGGCAGGGTTCTGTTGGGAGAGGCCCGCTCTGGAAAGGAGGAAGCAGGTTGCCAATTGTGGTTGGTAGATCAGCCTGCATTATGAGGAAATCCTGTTTGAGGGGAAACTTTTAGAAGGCAATAGAAATATATATGCTGGGAACCAATGACAAACCAGGTTGCCACATACATACTTTGATGATTTTGTAAATGGGACAGGCACTTTAGTGGAAGGACAGCTGTGTAAGTCTGAGTCCTAAATCCTTACACAGATGGGGACCGGCTCCCCCGGTGCTCCGGAGTGGCCTCCTTTAGGATTTGCTCTACATGGTAGCAAACAGAGGCAGCCCTTAGGCTTACTAAACTTTAAGACTTTCTGCCAAGTCTTGCAGAAAAAGGTGTGCACCGTTTGGGAAAGCGTGAGATCATGAAGCTTCAAGTGGGCTCAGAGAGGCTCCCTGGCCGCCACACTGCCTTTCCTGCGTTAGGACTCACCACATGGGGTCATAAGCAGTAGGTTGCACTTACTTGTCCCTTAGGGCCTCCAGGGCTGGGACGTTGCCACACACACAGCAACATGGCATCAGCGAAGTCTGATGTGGCCAGTGCGTAGAATTTCTCCTGTAGGTGCACAGACACCAGACTTCTACTCCTCCAGAAGACCCACCAAGAGTCAGACTTGTGACTCTTGTGACAAGTCAGAGACTTCTACATTCATTCTAAAGACCTGGGGCACAAATGTGTAGAAAATGGAGATCAGAATAGAACAGAGAACTCAAAGCAGATTGATTTATCATTGTCCTTAGTCCATCTTGGTGGATGCTCAGAGAAGTGAAAATGCACCTCAGGCTCACTCAATCAGCAATCATTTAAGGGGGTGTAGCTCTTGAGCTCAGTCTTAAACAGTCCTTATTCCCAGGCAGCTCACTTGCAGGAGACCGGACACTCTTTACCCTGGGATAAAGTGCCTGGAAATCCCTGTGTAGACCAAGGCTGACCAAGAGGTCTCAGGGTACTGTTGTGGCATGGAAGTGCTTTGGGAAGTGTGCCCCACCATCCAAGGAGGTGGCTGGCATGCCCAGCATGCTGGTTTGTGGAGGCGGTGCTCCTCCCATCTGTCCCTGGGAGCTCAGTGGATGGTAGAGCTTTCCTAGGATTGAAGGGGACCTACTTAGCAGCCCTAGACAAAGGCATGTAGCATATTTACTGTTTTATTGTTGGGTTGGGGTTTTGGTTTGTTTCTTTACTGCCTTCCTAGATGCAGTGCTGAGCATACCTCAGGCCACCGTGGCCAGGGTCCATCAGCCAGAGGCCAGCCTACCCAGAGCTGAGGCTCCAGTGAGGCCCCTGCAAGCACGTCCCCTACCCTGCACCCCCACCCACTAGGAGACTCAAAGCCTCTTCCTTTTCTTCCCATTGTGTTGAATGGGCTTTTCTAGGGGAGGAGTGGGGCCAGTTAAAAGCTCCCCATGCCAACCGATTCATCTTCTCCCACGACCTCTCCAACGGGGCCATGAATATGCTGGAGGTGTTTGTGTCTAGCCTGGAGGAGTTTCAGCCAGACCTGGTGGTTCTCTCTGGATTGCACATGATGGAGGGACAAAGCAAGGAGCTCCAGAGGAAGAGACTCATTGAGGTAATAGCACTGTTAGAGAATTTCACAGATTTCAGTGTTTCCTTCTGATTCTTGCCTCTCCTGGTTCTGCAGCTTGTGCTGCCTGGCCCACATCCCAGTGTCCCTAGGACAAATCATGCAGTCAGCTCTGAAGCCTACCTCCTGCCCCAGCAAGGCACCTCACAGTCTTATTTCAGTCCTGGGCAGCAGCTTGAGTAGGACAGGTTGGAACCTCTTGTCTGAGTCTCTGCATCCTGGGCTAACCTGAACATGGCTGCTGTATTTGTACTTTGTCTTTTGTGTTCGCTATATCATCTCATGTCAGCATCAGCTGTGCTGCATTCCTGCGGGTCCATGCACTGAGGGGGCTAGTGCCCAGGAAGGGGCTGGCTGTTGGAGCATATAGAGCCATTCTTTGTGCTCTGCAGAGCCTCACTTCCCTGTAAGGAGAAGCAAGCCTCTGCTTTTTGCTCAGTGAGAGAAGGTAGTGCCAGGAGATATTGCTCTCAGGACCTGGTCCCATCTTTGCTGCTGCCTGACTTTTTGTTTCTAATGGTGGTGCTGTATTCTCCCCTCTGCAGGTCGTGGCCTCCATTTCTGACATCCCAACTGGCATTCCCATTCATCTGGAGCTGGCCAGTATGACCAACAGGGAGCTCATGAGCAGCATTGTGCATCAGGTAACCACATGGGCCAAGCATGGGGGCACTCGCTGGCCTTGACACTCACAGGCCCTTGTAGAGAATGACGTTTTGTGTTTGGGTTCAGGGCCGCCTCACCAGGGGAGGATATGATATCACTCAGATCTAGATGCATGGAAATCCAGAGACGGAGCCAGGACTGGTATAGAGCAGGATCTCCTATGCGGTTAGGGATCCTGCAGTGTCACTGATAATGCTCATGGGCCACGTTTTTCCCTCTGAAAGAGGGAAGATAGAAGTGATTGCAGTAGAACTCAAAGGGGAAAACTGAAAACCCAGCTTGGCTGCTTTCAGGTGAACTTCAGGAAGCTCAGAGAAAGGAGACTTGGGGGAACTCACGCCCTCAGCTCCAGGCATCATGTGTTCAGCTCTTGCCTTTGTACACCACTAATGACTAGATAAAGCCAAGACTGTGATGCTTTTAACAACAAGACTTTGGAAACTTGGTTGGAGTGCCAACTTTGCCATTTTCACTAGCTTTGAGAAATTAGACAAATTATTAAGCCTTGCATTTTATTGTTATTTAACCTTTTTTAAATGGGTAATATATTTACATGATCTAGAGCCCAAAGTACATTGAGATATACAACAGTGTCTCCTGTCTTCCCTTATTTTCTCTCTTCTTACCCCAAAAGTGGAAGCATTCTAAATACTCTATTGTACACTTGCCTTTTTTTTTTTAATAAATACGTTTCAGAGATCTTTTCTGTGTTATCACATGAAGTGTGTCCCCACCACGTGATTAAAAAGAATACATGGGTATGCCTGCTGATTTAACCCGAATCCCTTTCTTGGGCAATATGTCGTTACGTCATCTGCTATTCTGCACACTGCTGTGACCAATCACCTTGTACATGAGTTTGTTTTGCTCATGAGCAAGCACTTTCTGTGTGTGTAGAAGTACACTCTCAGAAGTATGGCTGCGGGATTGGTGCTTACAAAGCATCTGTCAGTTTGGTGTTACCCCTACGAGAGCTGTGCAGCTACTAGATGCTTATCTTCTCATATCCTTGCCCCTGAAATGCAATCAAATTATACATTCTTTTCAATCTGATAGGTGATAGATAAATGGTATTTCAGAAGTCTTCTTTTTTTTCTCCTTTAATAGATTTGACTTCTTAGGCAGTTTTAGGTTCACAGCAAAATTGAGCAAATGTTGAGTTCCCATATACCCACTGCCCACACACCCACAAGCTCCCCTTGTCAGTGCCCACCGCTCTAGGGGGTACCTTGATAGAAGCCTACATCTATAGATCGAAGTACTACTAAGTAAAAGAATATAGGTAGGTATAGTTATTCCCCTTAAGATAGTAAGGTGGTTCCTGTTTGGTACCCCTCTTCACAGTGTGACTGCTAAATACATCCTTCCATAAATGCCTCAGAGGCTTAGCACTCACATGAGTCTGCGCCCAGCTTTCTTGATGAGTGTGGTGCAGAGCCATCATGCCCTGGCTGTGCAGCTGGGCCTTCACCTTTACACCTGCAGAAACCCTGCCAATATTCAAGAACCAAAAGGTGTGTCCCCTCAGTAGCAAGAAGACCCTGTGTGTGCCAAGGGTAAAGCTTGTCACCACAGAAAACAAGTATACTTCCTGGCTTTGTCTCAGCTTTGCATATGACAAGAGACTGGGCATCCAACAGTGTCACTGCAACTTTCGTCTTTACCCAAGTGATGATAATGAAGGTGGAGACAGCGGTTTACTAGACAGCGGTTTACTAGAACAGTGAGCTGTGATCGTCACCTCCCCACTGCAGGCTTCAGGACAGGGGTTGTATGGTAAAGAAGAAAAATGCTAATGTTAGTCTTTGGCCGTGTCCTGAGATGTCTTCAGACCTAGGTGTCCATCAGAAAGAGACCTACTATTTTGTTTTTGTTAGCAGGTCTTTCCTGCTGTGACTTCCCTTGGATTGAATGAACAGGAGCTGTTATTTCTCAGCCAGTCAGCATCTGGACCTCACTCTTCACTTTCTTCCTGGAATGGTGTTCCTGATGTAGGCATGGTCAGTGACATCCTCTTTTGGATCTTAAAAGAACATGGGTGGAGTAAGAACAGAGCCTCAGACCTCACCAGGATCCATTTCCACACACTGGTCTACCACATCCTGGCAACTGTGGATGGGCACTGGGCCAACCAGCTGGCGGCCGTGGCTGCAGGGGCACGCGTGGCTGGGACTCAGGCCTGCTCAACAGAAACCATCGACACCAGCCGAGTGTCGTTGAGGGCACCCCAAGAGTTCCTGACTTCCCACTCAGAAGCAGGCTCCAGAGTCATATTTAACCCCAACGAACCAGTAGTAGAATGGCACAGAGAGGGAATATCCTTCCATTTCACCCCAGTGTTGGTGTGTAAAGATCCTGTTCGAACTGTGGGCCTTGGTGATGCCATTTCTGCCGAAGGACTCTTCTACTCAGAAATACACCCTCACTATTAGGAAGGTTGCTGTGAGTAATTCTTCTGAGGAAACTAAAGAATTCAACTTAATTCTTTTGTGAGGAAACACGAATTATAGGAATTAAGTGAGTTAGAGAACAGTACTGAGGGTATCAGCAATTTTTAGATCTAACTGAAAGATAGCCAAAGAAACATCTACAGATTAAACTGTATCAGACACATTCCAGCCTATTGACTATTACAGAGAAACATTTCAGGTTTTGATCAAAATTTAGCTATCTACTAACAAGACTGGAGTTAGTTTTTTTTTTTTTAATGTTGTGCGTTACAGGGGCAAAAATTTGATTCCCAAATCCCTACTTTATGCAGCATCCTCAGATATTTTAGGTCACATTTCTTCACCCGAAGAGCCTGTCAGCTGGAGACTGCATTTACTTCTCACCCACATCAGAAGCACACAATCACATCACTCAGCTCAGTGTGAGGTCCCGTGCTCGCTCTCTCAGTTGCGTGCTCACAACCAGGATCACGAGTCCCGTTCAGTGTTAATACGAAATATTTGATGAGCACATGATCTCAGTCTCCTCTGAGGACAGTGCCAAACTTAGGACAGTGCCACAAGCAAGGAAAAAGTTCATTCCTGCACTAAACACCCACAGTAGGGACTGTGGCGTTTTTGTGGCGATTGCCCAAGCTGTAGTGAGTGGCCTGGCCTTCTGGCCTATGCACTGAAGGACTGCGCCTTCCGCCCTGCTCCGGACCTGCTTTCTGCTGTAGAAGACTCATCTGCATTCTTTCTGATCCTTGAAGGAATTTGCTTTTACAACTGGAATATGCTTGTGTGTATAACAGGTCATGTGTGTTTACATTGACACACCAATCCATTAAAGAATTTGACCTCATAAGAGCCCCGGGATCATGAATAATTGTGTCATGTTATGTATTTATTTTTTTATAAATCAAGGAGACCTCTGTGTGCTTTTAAAATGTATTTAAAAATTTTTACATTTCAGGAATCCTGTCTATTTGCAGTTAATTTTGTTTCCACCACCGCTCTGGAGCCAGATAAAATAAATCATTCAGAGGTTGGCTTCTGAATTTTGTTGTCCTTGAGATATTGTCTTCTCCAGTCCTGGGTTAGGCAGTGCTACATTCTGAGCCTGAACTATAGGCCTGTCCTCTGTGATGTGAAGCAACAAAATACCAGTATCACATGGCCAAACCAGTTTGAAACAGTATTTTGGAAGAATGTGGTGAGCTGCCTTAGCTTGCCTGAAGAGCAATGTAGACATGGCAGCTAGTGGCAGGCCTGCTTAGGTTAGGGTATGCGTATCACAGCAGCAGCTTCTAGACTCTAAAAGCTACTTCACGTTCTTCATTTATGACCTCTCCTCCCTGCTTTGGATAAGAAGAAAAGGATTGATTACTCCTTCAAAGGAACGTAAGCCTACAAAGTTATGCAACTTGAAATCCAAAGCAAGTTAGCTTATTAAGAAAATAAGCTACCTCATCAGTCTCTGCCTCCAGTTTCACTTAAAAATAATTAAATACCAAGGCCCTCCCTGGTGGCAAAACCGGTTAAAGCACAGCACTGTGAAGCTTTCCGCAGCCACTGCAGCACGAGTTTGATCCCCAGCCAGGGAGGTGACCTACATGGCATGGCAGACCTCTCCTGACCCACCCACTGCTCCCCTCAGCCATGTATTTCAGTAGATCTGCCTGTTCTGCTCCCTACTCTGTCCCTGGTAAATCCTCATCCCCTGCACCTCTGGCTTGTACCCCAGTTTTTGTATGCATAAATCTTTTTTAAAAAATTTGTATTAAAGGCTTAAGTGAGATTTCTATTTTCCCCAATAATTAATTAGGATAACTCATTGTTGGTGTGAAACTTAAGACTTCACTAAGTAGAGTACAGATGTGTTCTCCATGCAGCCTGTTCTTTGTAATTCATTTACTCAGTCCTTGCCTGCCTATATTCCCAGGGCTTCTCCATTTTGCACTGGTGAGGTCAATAAAGACTACTTCAGGATGTACAAGCAGCACTGTTTTTCAAAACATGTGTCTTGAATGACTGTCACTAAATCAGTTTGGTGGTTACAAAAAGTATCATTTTTGTATCATGCAGTAGAGGGGTAGTACATGTATTTTCTGTAAAATTGTGTAGAGAGGAATGTGCATACGTCCCTCAGTGGATGTCCCACCTGAGACTAAGATCTAGAAGTAAGTGACTCAACTCCCTCCAGTAGGACAGTGTATGGAGAAGTTGGAAGGACAGGATAAATGCAACAGGTAAGGCTTCAGGCCCCTCAGCCTTCTGCTTTGAACTGTATTTTGTAAAGGTTTCCATTTATGATTTTATTTGAAGAAAAAAGTTTGAAAATCTGGATGCCTGGTTTTAAACAAAAAAGCTCTCCAAATAGTGTTCAAACATTCATTTGTGCATCCACTTGAAATTGATTTCAATCCCCAGGTAAAAACTGAAGCACACAAGCCACTATCAGGCATCAAGAATTCAGCCAAACATCAGTTGTCTTTATTGTGTAAATTACACATATTTCTGTCAAGTTTGAGTGGGCTGGAGATAATCATTAACAAGAAAGATCCAAATTGTGTGCAGGGTTTTTATATTGAGTAAGTTACCTTACTTAGCCTCTCTTTTCTCATCTATATAATGAGCAAATATGGGTTCTTGAGTAGAGAATCCCACACAAAGTATTTAGCACTGTGTGACACATTTAAAAGTTTGATAATTTTCAGTTACTGTTATGAACTAAACTGAATAGGCAATTCCCTGGTTCTCTTTAGGACTCTTTGAAGTCATTGAAAAGCTACCATGATGGTTTAACATTGTTTGCTCTTTTTTTAGGTAAAAATTTTCAGATAGCGAAGCTGCACAAATTTTAAGAACACAGTTGGGTAAGTTTTGACAAATGCATGCATCTGTAACCCAGAGTGTTGCTATCTGATAGTTCCCTCATGCCACATTCATGTCATCTCAGCCCCAGAACCAACTGTTTATTTTTCAGCATTGTTTTGCCTGTTCTGGAACTTCACAGAAATGGAATCAAAGTGTTTCAATCTTTGTTTAAAGCCTCGTTGGCACATTTGTAACCTGCATCATTACATGCAATAAGATGCTTTTCACGGTTAACTAATCCTCAGTGAATACAGTGGTTTCTACCTTGGGGCTTTGTGAACAATGCCGTTGTCTAGTCTCTTGACAAAGATAATCATTTCTCTCATTCCATTGGAATGGAATTTCTAGGATATATGTATCTGACGTATCTGTCTCCAAAGTGTTCAGGTCATTGTACATATGCTGTGAGGACAGATCTACTTTCTTTGCCGACATTTGGAACTGACGATTCTCACCATTTGGATAGGTATGTGGTGCTTTCATTGTTTTTTGCATTTCCCTGATGGATACTTTTCACCTGCTTACTGGTCACTCATCAATTTTTTCAATTGGGTTGTCAGTTTTTTCATTATTGAGTTGTTATCTTTTATGTATCCTGCATGTAAATCTTGTTAGATATATTTGGTGAGCCTCACTTTTCTCATCTATGAAACAGGCAAATATGGTTTTACCCTCACTGGGTTCTTGAATAGAGGAGACTGCCACACAAAGTATTTAGCACAGTATGTGACACATTTAAAAGTTTGCTAATTTTCAGTTACTATTACTGAACTAAACTAACTAGGCAATTTCCTGGTCTGTTTGAAGTCACTGAAAAGCTCCCATGATGATTTAACATTGTGCTTTTTTTAGGTAAAAATTTTCATAGTGAAGCTGCACAGATTTTAACAACACAATTGGGTAAGTTTTGACAGGTGCATGCATAAATCCCCCCTAATATACTTTCAGTCTGTGAAATTTTTAATGGTAGTCTGTGTCCTAAGAAACATTGGATATCTATGTCACAAATGTAGTCTCATGTTTTCTTCTGATTTTATAATTTTAGATTTTACTCCCATGGGTCTATAATCTACTTTGAGTTAGTTCTGTTTGTATGTTGTTTGTTTGGGATCAGATTTGTGAAAACACTTCTCCCACTGCATTGCTTTGGTGCTTTTATCAAAAATCAAATGGCTGCTTGAGTGTTAGGCTGATTTGTAGACTTAGTATGTTTTATTGATCTATTTCCCTTGCCAGTACTACATAATTTTTATTATGGTAAGTTGAAATGAGGTAGTGTAGCATTAAGTCTCCAATTTTGTTCAAGATTACAGTTCTGAAACATTTTAGAACCAGTCTGTCAGTTTCTCCCCCAAAATCTGCTGGGTTTATAATAGAAATGTTGATCACTTTAAGAAGAATATTTATCTTAACAATATTCAATTTTCCAGCAAGTATATGAACAAGGTATGTCTATTTTGATCTTTTTCATAGCAGTGCTTTATAGTTTTAAGGACACAGGTCTTAGATGTATTTTATGAAATTATTTCATGACAATAGTGTTTGACATTGCAAATTTAAGGTTTATTTATTTTGCATACAAGAACTGGGGTAAAGGCCAGAGGTGTGGGAAGTGTGAAGATTCACCAGAGACAGAGTGGAGAGCAGAACAGATGGATTGACTGAAATGCACTACTGAGGGGAGCAACGGATAGGACAGGAGGTCTGCTGCACCATGTGGGTCAGCTCCCTGGCCAGGGATCGAACCCATGCTGCAGTGGCTGAGGATAGCTTCATAATATTGTGCTTTAACCTGTTGCAGGCCCGCAAATGAATTTCATTTTCAAGCTGTTCCCAGGTATACAAAAATGATTTTCATACACTGACCTTATACCCTGTGACCTTGCCAAATCCACTTACCAGTTGTAGTCTGGAGTTCCCTAAGATTGTTGACATAGAACCACCAAGTGTTCTGTTAAGTTTTTTCTCTACATAAAAGAACTGGGGTGTATGTAAGCCAGAGGTACGGGGCGGGGGGAGGGGAAAGGGAGGCGGTGAGCACATTTACAGAGTAGGGAGCAGAACAGGCAGATCTACTGTAATACACTGTTGACGGGAGCAATGTGCAAGACAGTTGAGGCCTGCTGTGCCATGTGGGCAGCTTCTTGGCCTGGAATCAAACTCATGCCCACCGTGGCTAGCAATTGCTTCAGCCCTGAGACTTTACCCCTGCACCACCTGGGAGGCCTCCCTTTCAAATCTGTTGCCTTTTATCACTTTCCTTTGTTGCATTACCCTTCTGTATCCTATTTATTTTTATTGTATGCATAGAAGAACTAGGGTAGGCCAGAGGTGCTGGCAGTGAGAAGATTCACCAGAGACAGAATTGGGACCTGCTGAAATCCACTGCTTGAGGGGAGCAGCAGACGAGACAGGAGAGGTTTGCTGTGCCATACGTGGGTGAGTTTCTTGGCCAGGGATCAAGAACAGCCTTAGGGGTGAGTGCTGCGACTTAACTCCTAGGCCACCAAAGGCCCTCTTCTTTGTCCTAAAAAAACATTGATTTACTCCAGTGTTAGGAATATACCCCAAGTATAATGCTGAATAAAGGAAGCAAGAGTGGACATCTTGCCCTCTGTCCTGACTTAGTGGTCAGTGTTTCACCACTAAGTGTGGTAATCCTTTGCAGTTCTCATCCTCACCCTCCTAATCCTGATTGTATGATGTCTTTTTAAAAATTGCTTTTTCTGAATCTACTCAAACCATATTTCTTGATTTTGTTAACACAAGTATTTTGAAGTAGTAAACCAAGAATTGATTTAACCCCAGCTAAGAAGTTGCTTTATAGATGATAGCTTTGATTTCCTTAATAGGTCTTAAGGTTTTTATACTCCTCCTTTTCAGTTCCATCATGTTATATTTTTCAAAGGTTTTTGATTCTTGGCGTCTATTGTCATAAAATTGATCATCTTTATCTTGTCTGTAGTCACAAGCTGCATTGCTTTTCCCTTTCATTCCTGACTGGAAGTTTGTCTCTTCCTGTCCTCTGTCAATGTAGCTGGAGTTTTGGTGTTTCTCCTAGAACTTCTGGATTTACAACTACACTTCCTGAAAGCACTGCTTTTAAATGAATTCCAGACTTCCATTTGTTTTCATTACCTTTCAGTTCAAAATATTTTCTAATTTTTATTTCTTTAAACACTTGTAATAACAACTTTAAATCAACAGATTTCCAGGCTTTCTAGATATGTAGGTATATTGCAAAGTCCCAATTCCAATCTTTGGAGGACTTTTGAGATGTCTTATATGTCCTAGTATATGTCTTGCTGAATGTACTCTGCACTCCTGGGTGGTTAACATAAATGTCAGGTCAAGATGGTTGGTATGTCTACCAATTGCTGAAAGGGGAAATACTGACATCCAATTATGATTTTGGATAATTTTATCAGTTCTTAATGTATTTTCTCTATTGATAGAGGCTTGCATAACTGTTGTGTTGTGTTTTTCTAATGAAATGCCCCCTTTTATTCTAGTAATAACACTTGTATTACTAGTATCTGTATTGCTTGTATCATGTCAGTGCACGAGCAAGGGTATTGCTTAAGAGAATTCAAAGTTTTGACATGTAACTGCCACTTCAATCTAAAGACAGGCTGCAATGAGGTAGTCCTGGCACTAATAAGAACCTGGTCTGGAGGTTGCAAAGCTTCACTTGGAAATAGGTAAGGGAAACTGTAATCATAGGTTCTTTTAAAGTTTATATTGTGATCTCATTTTTATACCTGAATAACCACTTTCCCAAAAGGAATGATATGTAATCTCTTTATTCTAAAAAGGACATATTATACATTGATATTTTCTGTTAAGAAACTCCTTTTAGTCATTGGTACTGATCCCAGACCAGCCCTTGTTGCTATTTCTTATCATAACATAATCTCTCGGGGGTAAGACACTCCCCAAAAAAACCAAGATACTAGGACTTATTCTGGATTCCCCTTGGGCAAGTGCAGCTTGAGATAATAACATGGGTCTCAATATAGAGCTTCCTATGATTTTCTAGACTATTAGAGCTGATCCAAGATTTGGGGGACTGAGAATCACCTCAGCAGGGCTACTGGGTAGAGATCTGTCTCAGACTTTCCCTCCACAAAGGAAGAAGCCAGGCGGTAAGTTCTCTGAACAGCCACTGTATCTTGTGCCCTGTTCTCAGTCCTAGGCAGGACCTCTTAGAATTATCTTCTCTCTAGTTCCTGGCTGGCAGGGCCAGTGTGGGGCTGCACAGGCCTCGGGCTCCCCTTGGTCCTCAAACACACCCTTTATTCGGAGTTTTGACTCTGACACCCAGGAAACTGCTGTCCTGCACTCTGCCTGTGCCACGCAACCTTTCTTAATCTGCTACATCTTCACACACACACACAAAAGCCCTACTACCCCTATTTTTCTCTTATTTGTGCTGATGCTTCGTTTGGATGTGCTTCCACAGTGGGGTCTGGCTCCAGAGGAAGAGAGGGTGGTTTTGTGAGCTGGGATGGTCCTCCAGCACCTAGTAACAAAAGAAATAGCTTGAATTCTCAATTCCATAACTCCAGAAGAAATCCCATCTTGTCTAGATGACTGGAACTGTAGTATATCTGCAGCTATGAAGGAAAGTAAGTCATAACTGAGGAAATAAAGTACTGAAATATCTCAGTACCTGTACCATGCCTACTTAAGGCAAGAAAATTAAAGCGAGACTACGTAACTGAATATATTTTAAAACAAGTTTTTAAGAACCAGTGTCCAACAACCCTTCCAGCAGCTATTACACAACTTCCCTTAAGAAAATAAAGGCCAACTTGGTGACCTTGTGGCCTTTTCCCTTTCTAGCAACGCTATATCCGGCAGATTCTGAGTCAGGAAAGTGCAAGCCTGGCTCCAAGCGGCGTCTCTGCTGGCACAGTGGCTTCGTACCCGCTGGGTCTTCGTGGAGCTATGTGTGGCCGCCTACCTGAGGGAAGCTTCCTGTATGCTGCTGCTGAAGACATTGCCTGTCCCAGCGCCTGATTAGAGCCCAGAGGCTGCTGGAAGCCACCAGGTTTGCTTGTTGAAGTGGTCCGGTGCTTTGCTTTGGGATCTTTAACTGGTTTAGTCCACACCAGTGTCTCCCTAACCTGGAGAGCAGCTCCCAGCTTCTGGGCCATCTCCACCATCTTTGGCCCACATGGAAAGAAAAAAAGAATCATTTGTAAATGTAACTAGTAATGCCCCTTCCTAGGCCTTCCACCATGGTGGGGTGGGGGGGGGTGGTCAGCTGAAGTAGTGTCTGCTGGTTCTAGCATTTCAAGGAAATCGTTCTCAAATAGCAAAGGAGTTCATATGTGATCTCAAAACCAACAACTCAAGGTTGGTACAGTATTGGACTAAACTGCTGCTTCTCCTGCTTGAGGAGACTTCAACTCAGATGACTTGCAGTAACAGCTAATTCACTGAGCCTGAATTTCCTCTGATTTCTTATTTCCTTTTAAGAAAGGTGGTTTTCTCAGGTGGTTGCTAACTAGAGAATGTACAAGCCTACGTCATACTTGGGTTATGTGGGCTTTAATTCATTAGTAACTTGCTAATAACTCCTGAGTACTAAAAGACGGCATACCTCAGAGTCAAACTCCAGAGAGTTGCTGTCTTTGAGCAGGTTGACTTTCTTCTCCATCTCCTTATACTGGGTCAGGGCACCCCTCTTCTCGCCCCGTTTGTACAGCAGCACAGCATAGTTCAGGTTTATTAAAGGGTTACACCTGTGGCAAACAGACAGGGAGTCTGTGGGCTTGGAAACAAATGGTCACATACGGATCTTTCTCATTACACAACAAAACTGGCCAAGTAGATTTCTCCATTCCACAGTGACGTGGGAACACACATGCTGTGTGGACCTGTGGAGAAGAATCAAGGAGGTACTGCAACCAAGTCTGGCTCTCAGCAGAAACCAGTGCAGAGTTGAAAAGGGAAGTGCCTACCAGATGGCATAGAATAAACTCCAGGACAGTCAAGTTTTATCTTAAACATAGTCCAGAGTTCCAGCTGATATTCCAACTAGCCTTTAAAAGGCTATCAACAACCCAAGCTCACTGTCGGCTCTTTCTATGGCCTCCTGCTACATTGGGGGCCAGAAACACTTTCTCAGTGGCAGTTCCTGCTGAGCAACTGTGTGCGTAGGAGCCCTGTCCTTCCACACTCAGGCCTGCTACAGACAGAGGCCGCGCAGCGGGCTGATTCAGGCCCACCAGTGCTCTTGCGCCACCTTGTGGCTTTGGACAGTCCAGCCCTGCCCAGTACCATCCCCAGCGGAGCAGCTTACTTATCCAGGCGAGCTGCTTCTGCATAGGCCCTCTTGGCATTGTCTGTATCTTCCAGGTTCGTCAGAGCCACTGCAACAAAGAAAATGAGCGCTGCAGCTGGAGAGTCCAACTTATAGGACCGAGGCAATGTTTCAAGACCACAGATTGTTCAGGTCTCAGACTTACTTCCTGGCACTGCCATCTACTCAGCCATTCCACTTAGATACTTGATGTCATCATACCACTGAAGTTCCATGAGTCCATTTTTTTTTTTTTTTGCAGTTTCTGATACTACCCTTGTTTGGGCCCCAGTTGTTTAGGTATTCGAGTTTTTCCCATGCAGACATACTGACTGACCATGTCGCTATCCCACTTAAAATTCCTCACTGCTTCTCAGTCTTCCATAACCATGACCATTAAACTTAGCAATAGAACACACCCCTTTTAATCAGTATTTTCTGGAAGCCCTGTCCCCTCCAACTGCCACTCCTGCCAGACATGTGATACATCTAGAAATTCAATTCAAAAAGCCTGGCCTTTGGGATAGTCTGGAGTTCTTTATCATTCCCCTCCCCCAACTCTGACGCCAAACTATTTGTCCTGACTGCTCTCCTTATACATCCTAGAACACTGTTGGCCACTAACTACAGGGTGCTTCATGCAATTTCATGGCTTCAGGCCTTCATTCACTGGCTCCCTGACGATTTCTATTGGAAGTTTACTCATACCATAACACATAAGCAGCAGTTCTGTTTGTTTATATTCCTCACCCCCATTAGAACTCGGCTTTCTCTGCATTCATGTAACCCTCAAGTGACACCCATTCAGTTTGCTTTTGCAACTTTCCTATTATAATAATCCCATAAACTCCTACCTGAAAAACCACTGTCAATGAGAACATTGAAAACTTTTGGGGCTTATACGCAACAGAACTTTTATATTATATAGTAATAGCAGTGCTAGAACACTTATATAACATAACAAAACCAATAGTTAAAATTATATGATTAAAAAACTAAGGACGATTATTAACTGTGAAATTCAGCTAGCAAAGGCAAGACATACCTAAGCCCAAGCTCTTAATGTTCAACAGTTAGATGAATTCAATATACAGTTTTCAAACCAAGGGAAAACAATTGGCAAAAGATGGAACTAGGATGATCTGCTGGTCTCTGAATTTGCCCCACGTTAGAAGCAACTAAGTGCTTTATCATCAGTTTCTTTCATATTTCTTCAAGTGCTAGTACAGTAAGCCAGATTCCACTGGGATCTGCAGGGAAATGATTTCACCCCTGGCTATCTATTATAGACGTCGAGGAGAATTCTCCACAGAAATGTCTCTTACCCGCCAACAGCATGTAGAGCTCCGCCATCTTTGGCTGGAAGTTGATGGCTGCATTGAGGAAATGGAAAGCTGATGCATACTGCTGCATGGTCAGATGAACAAGGCCCAAGTTATACAGAATCTTCCAGTCGAAGGGAGCCAAATAATTGGCTCGTTTTAGACAGCTGATAGCCTACAGGAGAGAGGGGCACTCAATGAGAGGCTGGGGCAAGTTCACAGACCCGGACACTGCATGTACGATGCAGACGAGGAGACACTCACTGCTACATATTTCTTCTTGCCAAAGAAACACATTCCAATGTTATTCCAGAGTGGAGGACTTTCTGGAACAGCACAGGCTACCACTTTGTATTTGGTGAGGGCAACATCAAAGTCCCCGTGTGTCTGCATCATGCTGCCTGCGGCCAAGATTGCCTGAAATGTGAGACATGAGTCATTGATGCTGTCATTCCCATAAAGCTGTAGCACTGAAGCCGCCTTCCTGAGTGTAGGTACTCGGGAGGCCTCTCAGCACCGATGGGGCTCAGAAACATCTGCCAAGGAAATAATGCATCAAGCTATTGGGACCAGTGTCCATGAGGTATGTGCCCATACCCACACTTTGGCTTATCTTTGGTACAGAGAAAAGATACAATCACTGATTTAACCCAGGCTCAGGTGTTCCCTGCTTCTGTCTGGGGAGTGAAGAGTTCAGCATATCAGGGCCCTGTAAGTAAAAGCTGCCTGCAGTCTGGCCACCGAATAGACGGCCCCTATTTGGAACACCAGGTACTCTAGACAAATCAGTTCCAGTGACAATATGCATTCCTGCTGTTAAAAGGAAGGATGTCCTAAAGGAACTCTGCAGAGTCTTATGGACCCTACCCCCTACTCTAGTGGTTGGAAACTACAATTCCCAGCAGTGCCAGGGAGAGAACTATAAGGACCCAAGGGCAGAGCTGGGACATTTGGGGGATAAATAGGGCGCGACTGCATCTCTCGCTCGGGAAGCGGCTCTCCGGACCACGTGACTCAGTGTGTTCAGTCAGCCAAGCTGGTAAGGTAATTCCAGTTACTTTGCATCCTGCTCTCCTTACCTGGGTTGTTTCCTATTCCTTGGCCCTTACCTGCAGTATAAATGAATTTTGAGCGCGTGCAGGTGAGGCCCCACAGACGGGTGGCCCAGTCCACTCTGAGCTACCCTGTAACACTGCCACAGGACAGAGGGGTCAGCTCTACGCAGCCTCAGCCCAGCCCCTTCCTTGCTCTAAGGAAGGATGAGTTGGGTACATGGGACTTCCAATAGAACTGAGTCTGCATTCAATAAACAGCCTTTCGCTGAATCTCCCTCTATGATGTTCATCTACTTGATGAGCTTCTCATCCCCACAGTCAAATCTGCACAAAGGCTATAACCTCAAATTCATTAGTTCATTAGAACTTAATTTACCACAATGATTTTTCACACAGAGGCTCTGCTAATTTCCTGAGCCACACAAGCACTACAATTTTACTTCCTATGTACTTTATATTTCTAACAAATGTGCTCGCCTAGAAAATCAGCAGAACACCAGCACTTTACAATATTTCAAACACAAAGAACCACTTTCTTTATAATCTAGCTAAGACAAGGGCAATTGCTGAGATACTTGAAATATTATACTTTCTAGGCCTACATCCCCCAGCAGCAGTGGGATTGTGTGAAGGCTCTGTGACTTGGCAGCTGCAGTACCTTATAGTTGGTAGGGTCATAAGTCAGTGCATTTCCAAGATGTTCAAATGCCTTCTGGTAAATGCCAAGCTTGGAGAAAAAGCAAACCAGACAGTTTACATTAGTGGGGGAAGGCCATTAAGGAGCCACCCACACCCTGGACAGACGCAACCTGATTTATCTGCGTTCTCTTAGGGAGAAAACAAGGCTACAGTTACCAGAGAAGAGAGTTAAAAGTCCGTACAGTGGTGCCGCCCCCCATTTTGTTGACCTGATAAGGTCTAAGTATGTATGTGCCAGGAACCATCTCTGCTACACTAGTCCTAGTGCCTCTTGGCAGGAAATGAGCTAGTTAGCCTCGTTTCCCCTGAGACCAGCCTCTCAAGCCAGTGCCCAGAAATCTCCAGAGTTAATCTGATTCCTTTTAAAGAAAAATGAAACCAACAAAAAGGCTACCAGAAGACAGAAGTCGAGGCAGGATCAGCTGAGCCAGAATCTGGGGAAAGGGTTGAGGGCTGAACAGGGAGGAGGTTCCTCAGATCCAGGGGGCCCAGTTCTCAGGCTGATCCACAAAAGAGATGGTGCTAAAAGAATCCCACTGATGATCAGGAGTGTGTGGGGGAGAGGTATCTGTAGACAATGCTTTGCCTTCACTTTCCTACAATACCTGGCTGGGAAGGAGCAACAGAAATGACCTTTAACCTAATAGTAATAGCTTGTATCAGGTTTCTCTTCCCTTTAATATTTCTCGTAACTGCTCTTTCCTTGGTTGATAAAAAATTACAAAGATTAAGTTAATTCCTTTAGCAAAGGAACGCAGAGAGTAAAGTTATGTGCTTCATATGACCTTTAGTAAAATGTGTTAAAGTTAAATCAAAATTCTGGGAAACCACAATATACACAACTCCAAAAGCATTTGTAACATCAAAGCACAAATAAGCAGAGTTCTCATTACCTGTAAGTAGAGTAATCCTAAAGTTGTAAGAAGCTCTGTATTTTCGGGAGAGAATCTGCAACACAGAGATCAACACAGGCCTGCTCAGAGGCACCGAGGCGGGAATGAGAAGCTGAGAACCTACCTCGGCGAGCCTCCTTCCCCGCCTTAGACCTGAGCTGACTTGAGAATTCCCTTCACAAGTGGATCAACTCCAGCTACAGGGGGCATTGCTCAACAAAAAAGAATTGGAACTTAAAATCCAGATTTCCTTCTTGCAAACTTTTTGTTGGGCCAAAGTTCTAAGAAAGAACCTATGGAAGGAATATTTGTGTAACTGTTGACTATACCACTAGAACTAAAGAACAATCACTGCTTTATAAACCAAATCAGCACAAAATTCCTCTTGGGGGATACACACATATATATACACATACATATATACACACATATATGTTAAGATTGATTTATTTACACATATAAGATCTGAGGTGCTGGTTAGAAGTGTGGGGGATGGGGAGTGAGAGTATTCACCAGAGACAGAGTGGGAAGCAGAACAGGTGGATGTAGCAGAACATACTGCCAAGAGCAGCGGGCGAGAAGAATCACCAAGGGATTATCATTTTTCTGTTCTCACTGTACTCATAATGCTAACCAGCATAATTTACTTTTCAATTTAGGATCCCAAGGCCCTAATGCTCTACATTCCATATTAAACAGCCAAGCTAAACACAAGAAGGAAGACACATAACTCTAGGAAAGACTTAGCCATAAGCTTTAAAGCAGGTTTTAAATAAAAGATTATCTGCTTCCCCAATCCCTTATATTTGTCTTTGTCACAAAAGCAGAGCAATCTGAACACTGATCTGACAGGACGGTCACAGGGTTTCAACAGTGAAAATGCCATAAGGCAAGAACAATGTCCCACTCCTAAGGGATGAGACTGGGTGCTGGTTACTGGCGGGAAGCCTTAACTAGCAAGACAGCTTTATTCAACTCAGTATCTGCCTTCTACATTCTGCTATGGTATGTATCCATTTTGATCACCTTCCTCCCCAATCCAAGTAAGGAACTGCCACAATCCTGTTGGCTTCCATCCCAACAAAATGACCAGTCTCTCCCAAATAAGGTCAGGAACAATGGTCTCTGCAGTCTCAGTGAGGCTCCCAATGCCCAGCTGTGTCCTCTTCTCCCTCAGCATTTTACTGACTATTCCCTGAAAAAAAGTCACCCTGGTTGACTTGGTGATGGGAAACCCACGGGGATTAGAATTGAGATGGAAAAAAAAATGTACAAAATGATGTAAAAATAAACTTTTGTAAAATAAAAAAAAAAAAAA